GGACAACACAGTAAGACACTTTGTCAAAATCTAGGTCAGCTGATATCAAAGTTCACTTTACATCTTAATCTGTGCACATGGTTCAAATTTCATAGCTGTACATCAAAGGACAAGAAAGTAGGTCACATCATCAAAATCTAGGTCACCTGATATCAAAGTTCAATTTTACAACTAAAACTGTGCACATGGTCAAAATTTCATTGCTGTACATCAAAGGACAAGAAAGTAGGTCACTGTCCCCTTGTGCAAGGAAAAATTGTGACCCAAGGGTTTAATTCAAAACAATCTTGAGACATGTCCACCAAACAACATCAAATATCTAAGCTGAAGCTTTCTCCCATTCAGTAAACATTTGTTTTATTTTCTTTTTTACTATGTGTACATAATGAGAATAACTGCCCCTGGGCAGGGCCAATTTTGACACCAGGGGAAAAATTTGAACAACTTTGGTAGAGGACCCATAGATGATATTATATAATATAGCAAACATCACAGATCTATGCCTTGTACCTTCAGACAAAATATTTTTTTAATTTTTTTACTATATGTTCATAATAAAAATCAATGACCCCCCGGGGCGGAACCAATTTTGACCCCAGGGCAATAATTTGAATAATCTTGATAAAGGTTCACTTCGCAAAGTCACATGCCATATACTTAACCTCTAGTCAAATATCAAAGCTCTAAGCCATGTACCTTCAGACATTAAGATTTTTTAATTTTTCACTAAATGTACATATTGAAAATCAATGACCCCTGGGGTTTGGGCCAATTTTGACCCCAGGGCTGTAATTTGTACAATCATGCTAGAGGTTCACTACACAATGTTTCATACAAAATATCTTAACACTAGCCTTTGTAAATTTAGAGATGATTTTTTAATTTTTTACTATATACATATATGGAAAACCTATGGCCCCCGTGCAGGGCTAATTTTGACACTAGAGGCAAAATTTGAACAAATTTGGTAGAGTACCTATAGATGATATCATTTTACAAATATTAAAGCTCTAAGCCTTGTACCTTTTTCTATATTTATATATTGAAAATCAATGACCCCCGGGGCGGGGGCAATTTTGACCCCAGGGCTATAATTTGAACAATCTTGCTAGAGGTTCACTTCACAATATTTGATTCAAAATATCTAACCTCTAGCATTTGTCAATTGATAGAAGAAATTTTTTAAAAGTTTTTACTATAAGTTTTACTTCACTTCAGTGTTGTTATATTTTCTGGTCCTTCGGGATCATTGATGCCAACACTATAAAGTGTTGAGAATTGAGTACCGCTCAAGCCGGTGCTAGGGGGCGTGAGGGATGTTGCACTTATTCATTATCCCTCATGTACAGACTCAATCAAACCGAGTCTGCAATTCTTATGTTATTTTGTTGTGATTAATGCTTCCGAGGGATCACTTTGTTTCCAGAATTTTTTACTACATACATACATAAGGAAAACCAATGACCAACGGGGCGGGCCGATTTTGACCCCAGAGCTATAATTTGAACAATCTCGGTAGATGTCTACCAGACAATGCCTTATGCAAAGTATCTAAGCTCTAGGCCTTTTAGGTCTTTACAAGAAGGTATTTGAAGTTTTTACTATATGTACATATATTGAAAATCAATGACCCCCGGGGTTGGGCCGATTTTGACCCCAGGGCTATAATAATTTGAACAATCTTGGTAAGGGTCTACTAGACAATGCCTTTTGCAAAATATCTAAGCTCTAGGCCTTTTGGGTCTTTACAAGAAGGTATTTTAATTTTTATGTAAAGGGAACTATAGGCCTAGCGATACTTTTTAACTAACAGAGATAGGTCAAAAACATTTGTACTTAAATACAAACAACTAGATTCTAGACCTAGCTCTAATCTAGTTAATCAATCACAAAAGGTTAATAAATATAAGCCCCATACTTGCTCGGAAATGCGTAATGATGAACAGAGTCCCATTTTGCGTTTAGAAGATGGGTCTTTTCGTTAGCGTCTAGTGACTGCTTCAAGAAAACATCTCCGTAACAAGGGTCACAACATTTATCGCTCGCCATTTTAAAAAATAAGCGCGCTATGTAACGTTTTAAGGGGAATATCATTGATATTTTGTTCACATTTGCTTCAACTATTACCCTGTAAGCCATTAGTCTGCACACAGCAATACATGTATTAGAATAATACTTTAACCATCTTTGGGTTTCCATTTTATCTGTTTGCAAGTTTTACTCTTTTTTTATGTACAGGATTAATCATGTAATAATGTTTATAACTTTCTATATAAGAATTGATATCTAAAGATATACCTGACATAAAATTGTAAAATCTATTGAAATAAGTAGTAAGAAGTTACAGATTAATGGCATAATATGATATACTTATAATCTTAAAAGAAGCTGTCCAAGGCTTTTGACCGTGGGGAAGGTATGCAATAAATATCTATCATTGTAACAAACAAGTTGTATGATCTCTGTATCTTTAAATCGTGAATCTATAAATCGTTCATCAATATATATTGATTTACAAGCAAGAAACAATATAAGATAAACCGTCAAACACCAGCGGACTTGGAAGCAATATGGATACTTTACTAGCACTTGTAAATATGCTACTCAACTTTTACTAAGCACCATAAGTTTTTTTTATTATCACAAGTATAAAACATATTTCTTTTCAATTTTTGATAATTCCTATTTAGCAATGTTTTGAGATAGTCCCTTGACATGACTCCTTGTTGACTTATCCATTACAACTTGTATTGGTAGCATAAAAAGCATGCACCCCCATATTTTCATGTTTTTGATGGGGTGTACAATCATATGACTTTTGTTATACTGCGACATTACCGGTTAAATGTCATTGAATGGCTTACATTTCTTACATCTGTCACTTTGATAAGGCGAATGCTAACATAAGGCGGTATTTGAGAGAAGTAGAAGTATGGAGGGCTGTAGGGATGGTTCAGCTTGGGGCACCTTCCGCCAGGTAGGTGCGGCGCTCGGTGTACACCACATAGTCTTTACCAGAGCCTGTGAGATATACTGGCTACATGGTGCACCCGCTAGGAGGCATGCTGGAGGCAGGCAAAGGGTCGCAACGCCAGCTCAGGACCGGTTTATGGTTGTTAAGCCACGTCGAGAAATGTTTTCGACAGCAACTTCTTTTCGAAATGACATTGCTTATGCTGCGGAGGTCCGTGTTTCCAAGCAAACGGTACGTATAAGGCTGCATGAAGGTGATTAGTGTCTAGAAGACTTTGCATACGTATCCCCTTGACGCATCGACATACAAAGTCCCGTTTGGAATGGACCATGGAACATTCACGATGGACCATGCACACTGGAGACTCGTTCAGTTCACTTATGAGTACAGGTTCTGCCTAGACTTCGCAGATCAGCGTGCCACAGTCTGGAGAAGACAAGGTGAACAGTTTCATGCTGCAAATATTGCATGACCGCTACGGAGGTGGGTCAGTTGGTGTGGGGAGGTGGCATCAGTTTTGATGGACGACCTTGCTGTGCTAGAAAGAGACACATTGACAGGTCAGCGCTACATAGACGACGTGTTAGACTACCAGGTTAGGCTGTATGCTGGAGCAGTCAGTCTGCGATCACTTTATTTCAATGGACGATAATGCTCACCTTAAAGGACCAGGGCGGTCCAGGACTACCTAGCGAGGGAGTCTATTGAGCGCATGGACTGGCCAGCTCGCTCACCTGACTTAAATCCAATAGAACACATGTGATATGTGCTGCAGGTTAGAATTTCAACTCGTCAGCTGCAATCCAGCTTGGAGCTATGTTGGTCCAAAATTGGGCAGCCATACCCGTTAGAACGATCAGATACCTAATCGAGAGTATGAGAAGATGCTGCCCAGCTGTCCTTGATAGCCACACACACGGTACTAAGTATAAAACTTAAAAAAACACCAGAAGGAAATAACAACAAAGTAACAATTAAACAAATTTGAAAAACACGCTGCATGTTCTGAAAACTTCAAAGTGGGGAGGGGGGGTCATCCTCTTCTTTAGCACAAAATCAATGTAAAATTAATTTATAGGGATAAAGTCGTCCTTCAGCTGAATTGATAAAAAAGTAAATCAAAATTTAAACCTTTCGCACTGATTTTAATTTGTTTGTTTGTTTGTTTGTTTCATTTTACGCCTTTTTCAACAGTATTTCAGTCATATAGGCGGGTAGTTTCCTAACCATCGTTCCTGGAGAGTTACACCAGTACTAGACAACCTTCCTCCGCGCTAAACTACCAAAGCATCTCCCGGGGATCGAACCCACGCCAGAGAGGTAACTGGATTAGAAGTCATCGACTCTAACCCCTCGACCACGGAGGCGGTGCACTGATTTTAAAAAATTAAAGTCAAAGAATGGTCACACTGAAATATATGGTGCTTAGCAAAAGTTGAGTAGTATATAAACAATCCAATCATCGTTATCATCGTAGTAAAAGTTATAGACGCCTTAAAGGAAGGCATAGTAGCAAGAAAAACACATACAAAGGTCCAATGCAGCAAGAAATTATATTTAAACAATTCAGACCGAAATGCCTTAAGAACGGTCCGTCATAGAGTGTTCCACTTGATCCGGTCTGTCAGAAGCAACCAAAATAGGAAAGCAACAAAATAACATGAAGTTTGCTGACCCGGTTAGTGTCTGTACATGAGGGATAATAAAAGTGCAACATCACTCACGCCCATCTAGCGCATGGTATTCAATTTAACAAAGTCAAGCAATTCAAAGCAACGACTTTAGAGCAATAATCCAGAAAGACAGGACTTGCAACAGGATTGAGTCAAATATGAATCAGGAATTCAGGGGTCTATTTTTCTTTAATTCGTTTTCATTGAATTGAACGTTGATTACCTAAAAACTTACACTCAGTACATTGTCCTTCATTATATGTTATATTATATACAGTACCTTTCTGTAAAATGAATGACATGTTATAGATAATTGTCCGAAAGTAAATTCAAACTTTCTTCTTAAATTGCAGACTTCACAAAGTTTAAAGAGGCATGCCGACTTAACACTTTGGAAGGTGCAAGGCTCACGATTGATAAAATACCTATATCTAGCTGTATTTATCTTGCAAACATTTCTCCTGAAATAACAGAAGATACTCTGAGATATTACTTTGAAAGCAAATTTGGAGAAAAGGGAAAAGTTGATAAAGTACTTTTGACCAAATCAGAGGGAATTTGTCTAGTTTATTTTGAAAATTACAAAGGTAACACAAAAATTCTCAAATGTTAAACTGTATAAAAATCGGTGAATAACACAAGTAAAAGCAATGCATACTGTATTACATACTTATTATAATAATAATCCATATTGCTTTTGCCTTCGTCGTCTCCGTTTGTCTGTCCACTCGCATTTAAAGTGTCCGGGTTTCACATGTCAATTTGCTTGTGGGATTTTGACGAAACTTCACAGGGGTGATCAATACAATACCTAGTTGTGCATATTGTCGACAAGTTCCACTTCCCTGTACAAAATAGCTGCCAGAGTTAGAAATAGAAAATCAATGATGGCTGTGACAGGTAAATTGCCTGGCGGGATTCCTCTGAAACTTCACAGGAGTGTTGAGTACCAACCCTTGTTATGCGTATCTCTGGAACGTTCCTCTTCGCTGCAGAAAATGGCCACTAAAGCTAACAACAGAAAAATATTGTCTGACTGTCACAGGTCAAGCTGCTGGAACCCTACGGGGTTGATCTGTACCAGTCTTAGGTGTGCTGTAGTCAGCATTTTCCGCTTCACTGCACAAAATTGCAACAAGTGATAAATATTTGAAAAACCTTGACAAGCTTTCACAGGTCAAACTGCTTGGGAGACTTCGACGAATATTATACTAGCGTGATCAGTACAAACCCTTGTTGTGCATATCGCCGGCACACAATTGTTGCTAGATTTGAAAATAGAAAATCCATGCCCTTCTTTCACAGGTGAAAATGCTTGCGGCATTTCGACGAAACTTCATAAGAGCTGTCAGTATAAACCTTCGTGTGCAGATGTTCATCACCTTCTGCTTCGCTGCAAAAAATGGCCACCAGAGCTAAAGACAAAAATCCTTAAAAAGGGCTTAAAAAAGAAAAATCTTATCGGGTTGTCACAGGTTAAATTGTCGGCAGGATATTGGCAAAACTTCACGGGAGTTATCAGTACCAATCCATTGTATGCATATTGCTGGCATGTTCTGATTTACTACACAAATCGACTACCAGTTATAATGACGGCAATCCTTATCTGTATTTTACTGCGGGTGGGATTTTGGCAATATTTCACACAACCATTGCCGTGCATATCGCTAGCATGTTTTGCTTAGCTGCAAGAATTGACTGCCCGAGCTAAGACTAGAAAAATCCTGTCCGGCTTTGACAAGTAAAACTTCTGGTTGCATTTTCATGCCGCTGTTCTATCCTTCGAGTACATACGTGGGAGACATTTATTATTTTTTGAGAAAAAAGCATTTAAGTTGTTTTTCAAATTATAAATAAGCGTTAAAAAAATAATATTATGACATTTACAAACAGCAAAATTGAAAACAGAAACGTAATAGTCTGACAATAAGTTTTAAATTATTTGTTTATATATGACGCAAAGCAATATTTAAGAGGTATATTCCTATATATATATATATATATATATATATATATATATATATATATATATATATATATATATATATATATATATATATATATATATATATATATATATATATATATATTATATATATATATATATATAATATATATATATATATATATATATATATATATATATATATATATAACAAACTTTTGTTTGACCTGCATATTTTCAGTTGTCAATAGTGTTTTGGAAATGAAACATACTCTCGGAGGCAGAGAACTAAAAGTAAGCTGTTACCAAAACCTACTAAAGGGAACTGAAGAAACACATGAAAGAGTTCTTAAAGTGCCTAACCCGATTGACTTGTCAAATACTGCACCAGAAATAATACAATTTTGCCATACCGTACCCTTTTATAGAACGAAATTTGAAAAAGAAATGTCAGAAGTGTATGCAAATATAGTGTGGCCAAAGAAACCAGCAGATAAAACATTTATAACGTGTACGCTTGATTTATCCGTCCGTGGTTGCTTTAAACATGCCAAGACATGGCAAGAACGAGTTGAGAAGAAAATTACCATATTATTGGCAGATCTGTCCTTTACACAAATTGACGTTCATACATATATTTGGGAAAAACTTATTGGTTATGTGCGAACAATTTCAGTTGACAAACCACAAGATGTGCAAATATATCAGATCAAAGAAAAAAATGTCATTAATATAGTAGGGAGAAAAGAAGTTGCAGAAGAAGTAAAACAAAAAGTTTTATGTGAAAATGAAAAGCTCGAGCAGGAATATGAGAAAGACCGACAGAAAGTTAGGGAATATATGCGAGGATTTCAGCCAATTGAGGTCAGACTTATGAACGTTACAAATACAGCTCAAGTAATACAACAACATTTTGATGACTTAACCATAGAAATCGACGATGAAGAAAACGCTATAATATTTGAGGGTCCCTTGCATTCCGTCAAGGATGCTCAAATAAAATTTTATGAGATGAAAAACAATTTTGGGCGGAAAGAAGTTGAGTTATTTTCAGACATGTTAATTTCAATGTATCAGTCAAAAGAGGCTGTTAGTTTCATCCAAAATCTTCTTCAAGAAAGTGGCTTACAAGCCTTGTGGGAAATCAGGAATTCTTCCCTTATAGTATGTTGCACACAGAACAAGATGCTCGAAAAATGTGCTGAAATTATTTTAACAAGCCTTGCAGAAGAACGAATTGAATATAATGCTGAATCTGTTCCTGATATGAAGGCCGACAGTTGGCGAAGAACACAAGACAATTTACGTATCAGTTATAAGGGGAACGTAGAATTTAGTACTGAAGAAAATATAGTTATTGTCTGTGCAACTAAGGATATACTTGCGACAGTCATTTCAGAAGTAAATAGGTTTATAGATTCAAAAACGATACTGTCAAAGTTCTTTTCTTTTCCGAAAGATGTAATAAGGTTAATTGAAAAGCATCATAAATCAGACATAACTGCTATAACACTAGAACTCAGTGCATACCATGTTGAAATATTAATGGCCGAAAATTACAGTGGCATGCAAGTGCATGGGTTAGTCCTTGGAGTAGAAAAAGCATCTATGCAGTTACAAAAATTGTGCAACAGAGTAAAGAAAAGAAAACACACCATCAGAAAACCTGGTGTTGCTGATTACATTGGAAAAGCTAAGGGGAAAGACAACATAAATACGGTTGAGACAGTTTTGAAATGTATTGTTTCGATTGAGGGAGGTGACCAGGGTAATAAAGAAGTTGGAGAGAAACGTGTTGCCGCCGAATGTACTTTTCTGGATGGCAGAGTGTTATTTGCATTTGTCGGCGATATGACGGAGCTTGAAGTTGATATGATTATCAATCCAGATGATGAAAAAATACATTTCCATGGTGGCCTTGGAAGAGCCATAATTTCTAAAGGTACAAACGTTATTTTTTAACTCTTATTCAATAATATTTAATATAAATCGCGCTAAATACAAAAAAATACAAAATCATATGTGGATGCTAGTTATAAGTAGGTTATCATTTTGATTACAAGTACATTGCAAGTTGGCCAAAAGTAACCGCACAAGCTTATTTTAGAAATTAAAGAAACAATAGCTCAAAATTATAGTTTACTTCTTTAAACCGAACACCTGTGGAAATGTTTAAAAGAATTTGGATTTTGGATGTTTCCGGAACTCAAAAGCTCAGAAAAATCTAAACAAGTATCATAATTAAACATAAGTTGTTTATGTAAGTCATGCTGAAAAACATAGTCGATAAATTTAATAAAATATCAAAATATGAAATTCCTTAAAATGTTTATGAAATTTTATTATCACCAATATTTGACTTTGTTTATACATAAGCATAAAGAAAATTATCAAACTTTATCCTTAAAGATATTTAATAGAGTTCCAACTATTAACCTGTATTTTTTCACAAAATGTTTTTTTTTCTTTAATCGAGGGGTTGACATACTTGACAGGCTGTGACTGTAAAAGGTTTTAGATTAATTAGTCACTGCTATTTAGAAGGCAAAGATATTTTGTAAGTGCGATTATATCAAATTCTTTTATGGAAGTAGATTTAAATTGATAAAAAAACATACAAAAAAGCAAATTTTTACCAGAAAAAAGGTTATGAATTTAGAAGTTGGCATAATTTACAGTTAAAACTTTTATGACAGTGAAAATTGATCGAATTTCAGATTTTTCTAAATATCCGGGAGTTACACTGTAAAAATGTTAATCTTATTACCACAACAAGTAATACCATAAGGATAACAAGCTATGTATGATAAAGAATTGATATGACTTTAAATGTTTGAAATTAATAGTTGTTACTCTACTCACTCTTTTCAAAAGCTGCCATCTAAATCATTGAGATATTCTTTTTCAGAGTATGTCAAATTATTTGAAAGCGTGTATTTGTTGATCCTATAAAACTTTTACTCTGATTGTATGTAATCTTGAATGTTTAAGCTATTTGCTTACAAATTTAGCATTATGTAGCCGCTAAAAATAGCATGTACACGCCAATAAATGTTATGTATATTCAACACTTTTCCTTTGAATATAGGATATTTTAGATACATTGATAATTTACAAAAAAGACATAAAAATAATTTTACCAAAGTGTGATTCGAATTAATAGTCCTAAATAACATACATTTTGCTTTAATTTGTTTTATCTAAATATTCTTCAAAGTGAATGAATTACATTAGAAACAGTTAATTGAAGGAAAACTTTTATTCTAATGTTGGGCCTGTAATTCTATTGATCTTGCAGCAAACTATGTGATGTCCTTACAAATTTATACGCAGTTTAACTCGGTTGTATTGAATTATTAACAACAGAATTAATTTGAACAATTTACATGAAATAAATCATTTCTAACATTTGTTTTTAATCTTATAATTTTTTGAAGGTGGTGCAAGTATAAAAAAAGAATGTGAAGACTTTATCAAAGAAAATGGGGATCTGGCAGTTGATGATGTTTTTGTAAGCGAGGGAGGAAATTTGAACGCAAAGTATGTAAGTCATATATTAAGCCATGAATGGAGAAAAGGAACCGGCAACCAAATAAAAACATTAGGTGATTCCGTTTTTAACTGTTTGACAGAGGCCACGAAACGGAGGTTAAGTTCTATAGCAATACCTGCCATTGGTTGCGGTGTGAACGGGTACGTATTTTGTATCATGTAATTGTTTAAAATTTAATTTAATCAAATGAGTTTCCTATTACGTGTATTTCATTTTTTCCAATCATAGTACTTTTCGTATTACGTATCCCACCAAGGGAGTAAAACAAAATAAATCAAAAAAAGCAATTGCCCATTTAATATAAAAAAAACAAAACAAATCTACTATTTATATATGATACTATGAACAAGATTATAAATCAAATGGGCATAAATTATCATCTGAGAATTCGTCCTTTCAAAATGTTTTAAAAGCCTTATAGGGGCGGGGGTATTTTAAATATATTCATGTATGTTATGGGGAATTATCAACTTGAGTATGAATTGATCAAAATCAGTTAATAATTTGCCTTTCTAGAGTGCTGTAACAGTCTATAAGTTGCGGACCAAAATAAAGGCGGCCTTCTTAATGATTTTCAGGTTTCCACCTGACATCGCAACAGAAACTATCATAAGATCTGTCAAACAATTTTTCTTAGAAGTGCAGCATAGTCCTGTTACGGAAGTTTATGTGTGTGATTATGATGAGAAAAAGGTTCAATGTTTCACGAATGCTCTATGTTCCGAATTTGGGCGTGACAAAGTGTCAACTTTTAGCAGAGATCCTCAGCCTCTCATTGGAAATATGAATAAAAACTCCGTGAACATGACGGGAAAGAAGAAATCTTCGAAATCGAAGATTTCAAAAACCAAAGGTAAATTTCCAACTGCATTTTGGTGATTTTTTAATGGACCTGTATATTTTGGTATTGTTCACGGCCGCATTTTGTGAACATCTCTTTCACTTGGCGATATTTCTATAAAAATCCTACCATATTGACAGACACTTTACTTCGTTTGATAAAATTTATTGTTTTTTCTCAATGGTTATTTGATTAAGCGAAACAAAACAAATAGAACGTTTGTTCTTGATTGATAATTATCTTTTTGATTTTTTTTGCATAATTGTTCATATAAGCTATTTGCATAAAAACTGATACAAATGCAAAAAATAAACCTGTAATATTTTAGATGCCGATGTCGAAATACCGATATTGAAGATTTTAAATGGAGTTCAAATAGGAAAATTGAAAGTCAAGATTGTTAAAGGAGAAATTTCGTCAGAAAAGGTTTGAAAAAGAAAATATGTAACGAATCTACATATTTGTACAACGACTTCTTTACTGTGCAATTAGAGATAACATCTGTTCATTTTGAACTAAATTTTCTCTAGATCATTTAATTTTTACACGCACAAAAATTTACAGGTGTATGCACCTGGTCATTCATCCGTGTTCTTAGGTCTGTAAGCAGTTTATGTGTGCAGTCTGAATATTTCGAATCGGTAGAAGTAAAATGAATTTACTTGGCAGGTATGAGACAATATGCATAACGTAGTTTTGTATCATTTTATTAATTTTGGTCCACTCAGTATCTTTTGAATCGATTGAAAAATAAAGTTCTTGGCAGAATTATCATTTATAATTAAACACTGTGTAAAACACAGGTTCATGCTACCTGATGTCCAAATTGGTCCACCCCAGGCATTAGTGATTTATATACACTTATATAGTAATCCTTTATTGTATGAAACTACAATGTCTAGAGCTAAGGTATTTATCTTATATCATTGCTTTATTGATCCTTACAAAAATGATATGAATCATGCGTCGTTGTTCAAAATGGCCCCGTCCAAGAAGTCACTTGATTTATATAGACTTAAAAAGAAAACACATCTGAGAATTTTGTGAAACTACGATGTCCAGAGCTGACATAATTGGCATGTCACATCATTTTGAGCATCCGATGTCACTTAATTAATACATTTTTGGTGAAACTACAATGCCTAGAGTATAGATATTTGACATCTAGCATTGTCTAGTTGGCCACTACAAAACTGGTATTAATCATGCCCTTTGGATCAATGTTGATAGGGTCTTGTATGAGAAAATACATCTCAGTCTTATTTTGTGAAATTCCAAGGCCAAGAGCTAAGACATTTAGCATTAACTTAATCTTTGAACGCCTGAAAAATTGATATAAATCATACCCTAAGCGTTGAAGTTGGTCAACGACAGGGTCTTTTTATTATAGGAAACACATAAATGTCTTACTAAGAGAAATTACATAGCCCAGAGCTTTGGCATGTAGCATCAATTTGTAGGTTTCTTCAAAAGGAATATTTATCTTGAACCTCAGGTCCCTTGCTTCTACTAATGTATAGGAAAATACATCTTATTTTTGTGGATAAATACTATGCCTGTGTATTTAGCATATAGCATGTATTTGTATAGACCTTTATAAAAGTTTTTATGAATCATGAAATTAGAGTAACAATGCCTTTGTCTTGGTGGTCATGAAGTATCATATGGATAATTAACTGAGGATAAAACATTTTTTCAGACATGTTTCTTGATTGTGTATTTACCCTAAATAAGAGATTATTTTTCTTCACTTAAAAAAAATTAACTTTTGTGCGCATATTGTCTCGTCTTTGCGGTTCTCTTGTTCTTGTTCTTATCAGATTATCCTGAACTTATGTTTGATATTCATGTCGAAATTATATTTATATATTTCCTTACATTGCTATAGTATTTCAAAAAGTGAATGGTGATGTATTTAATATTTTTAGTAGAAGTACTACTACTTATACTATGGGCAATACGTTTTCCTGTTATCATGTTAAATAAATAAATTTTTAAGATTAAATCTGACAAATTTTAATGAAACTACTTAATAACCGAAAACATTTATAATATTGACATACAAAGCTATTGTTTAAAAGAATAATTCTATTTTTTAAACTTGAGCAAACAAAGTTATTGAAAATAACATGTACAAAGGCTTTTGAAAATCAAAAAATTTTTAGTACTTGTGATATAGTTTTAACGACTTATTTTCCCAACAATTTTTATAAACATACTGCAGGTTAATGTGATTGTAAACTCAACATCAAGTGATTTGACCCTAGCAAACGGAGCTGTGTCTATCTCGTTACTGAATGTGGCTGGTAAAAAAATGCAGGAAGAGGTCCGTTCAAAATATCCAAATGGTCTAAATAATATTAATATAGCTATAACATCGGGTTACAAACTCAAGTGTAAGCACGTTTATCACACTGCTTTGGACCAGTTCGATGCCAACAAGGAAATGGAGTGTAGAAAGGTAAAACCGCCTTTCAACATATCTTATCTATTCTTTTAGATTGAGCTGTTAGTGTTTTTTATGCCACCGCAGCATCTGCGATTCACCTGTGTGTTTGTGTGTGTGTGTTCTATAGATTATATAGTGAACTTAAAAAATCTTCTTGTGAAAAATAGTAGTCCAATTTCAACCAAATTTGGCAGGATTGATCCTTGGGTAAAGGGCTTCCAAAGTTGTTCAAAAGAAATTCATTCCATGCAGAAATCTGGTTGCCATGGCAACCAAAAGGAATTATAAGAAAATTAAAAAAAAATCTTCTTGTAAAGACCCAAAAGGCCTAGAGCTTAGATATTTTGCATAAGGCATTGTCTGGTAAACCTCTACCAATATTGTTCAAATTATAGCCCTGGGTTCAAAATTGGCCCTGCCCCGGGGGTCATTCATTTTCACTATATGTACATATAGTAAAAACTTAAAGTACCTTCTTGTAAAGACCTATAGCTTAGATATTTTGCATAAGGCATTGTCTTGTAGACCCTTACCAAGATTGTTCAAATTATAGCCCTGGAGTCAAGATCGGCCCCGCCCCGAAGGTCATTGGTACATATAGTAAAAACTTAAAATAACTTTTTGTAAAGACCCAAAAGGCCTAGAGCTTAGATAATTCGCATAAGGCATTGTCTGGTAGACATCTACCCAGATTGTTCAAATTATAGCCCTGGGGTCAAAATCGGCACCGCCCCTGGGGTCATTGGTTTTCCTTATATGTATATGGTAAAAACTAATAGTAAAAGTTTAAAAAAAATTCTTATAGCAATTGACAAATGCTAGAGTTTAGATATTTTGCATGAAACATTGTGTAGTTAACCTCTAGCAAGATTGTTCAAATTATAGCCCTGGGGTCAAAATTGCCCCCGCCTCGGGGGTCATTGATTTTCAATATATACATATAGTAAAAAATCGAAAAATCTTATTGTCTGAAGGAACAATGCTTAGAGCTTTAATATTTGTTAAATGATATCATCTATAGGTACTCTACCAAAGTTGTTCAAATTTTGCCTCTAGTGTTAAAATTAGCCCTGCCCCGGGGCCATAGGTTTTCCTTATATGTATATCGTAAAACTTGAAAAATTATTTTCTCTAAATTTACAAAGGCTAGAGTATATTTTGCATGAAACATTGTGTAGTGAACCTCTAGCAAGATTGTACAAATTAAAGCCCTGGGGTCAAAATTGGCCCCAACCCCATGGGTCATTGATTTTCACTATGTACATATAGTAAAAAAAATCTTTATGTCTGAAGGTACAAGGCTTACAGCTTTGATATTTGGTATATAATATAATCTACGGGTCCTCTACTAAAGTTGTTTTAATTATGCCCCTAGTTTTAAAATTGCCCTGCCCCAGAGTCGATAGTTTTCCTTATATGTATAAAGTAAAAACTTGAAGAACTTCTTCTCTGGATTGACAGAGGTTAAATATATGACATGAGACTTTGCGAAGTGAACCTTAACCAAGATTGTTCAAATTATAGCCCTGGGGTTAAAATTGGTTTCATTGATTTTCATTATGTACATATAGAAAAAAATATTTTTGTCTGAAGGTACAGGTCATAGAGCTTGATGATTGCTATATAATATCAACTGTATGTCCTCTTCCAAAGTTGTTAAAATTTTTCGCCTGGTGTCAAAACTGGCCCTGCCCGGGGGCAGTGATTCTCATTATGTACACATAGTAAAAACAGAAAATAAAACAAATGTTTTCTGAATAGGAGAAAGCTGCAGCTTAGATATTTGACATGAAGTGTTGTTTGGTGGACCTGTAACGAGATTGTTTTGAATTAAACCCTTGGGTCAAAATTTTGCCTTGTCCAAAGGGACAGTGACCTACTTTCTTGTCCTTTGATGTACAGCAATGAAATTTGACCGTGTGCACAGTTTTATTTGTAAAATTGAACTTTGATATCAGGTGACCTAGATTTTGATGATGTTACCTACTTTCTTGTCCTTTGATGTACAGTTATGAAATTTGAACCATGTGCACAGATTAAGATGTAAATTGAACTTTGATATTTTTTACAAAGTGTCTTACTGTGTAGTCATGAAATTTAGGCTGTGTGAAATATGACCTTCACCAACAAATTCACTAGACTCAAGTGCATTGATATATTCATACTCTGATCTTTTATTGGATTAACAATAGATTTAACCACTTATCTGATAATAAGAATTAGATAGGTCAGGGATATATGCATTATGACAATCTTCAATTGTATAGAAACAAAAAAATAATATGTTCCTACACTACTATTTAGTATTGTATTAATGCGGTGGCATAGCATTTTGCTCAAATGCAATCTTGTTTCTCTTTAATTTTATTTTTAATTTAATGAAACGATACATTTATTGACCTTAAAACTTAACACGATGTAAAAACTGTACATAATTAAATTAAAAAATGATAAACATGCATCCATGCATAAGATTATATGTGCATAAAATTACGAATATATTTGAAGCGCCTGTTTGACCTTATCTCTGAGTGTCTCGAGGAAGCTGATAATCAAGGAAACTCGAGCATAGCTTTGCCAGCTTTTGGAACAGGACAGCTTGATTATCCTCAAGATGTAGTTGCGGAGGAAATGTATAAAGCAGTAATTACCTTCGGAAGAACAGGATTAAAAAAGAAATTACACGACGTGCGCTTCGTTTTGTACTACAAAGATGATACATGTATTCAGGTATGATGGTCAGTCTTTTGAAAAATAATAAGAGTACAAGAAGTGACAGAAATGAGTTATTTTAGGTTTTATGCAATTTTATAATGGGATGTTAAAAGCGTAAAAAATATGTTCCTTGTTTGCATCGCATTACTTTTTTAATCAAATTTTATATAGACTACCTTAACAAGTTTAAAATATGCGAGAACAAGATCATATGGCAGAAGAACGTGATAGAAGTTGGACATAAACAGTTTCTCTGATAAACAGACTCAACACACTAAGTCTGAAATTTACATACAATATTGCTTTTCTGTCCCCACCCTCACCAAAAAAAAAACAAAAAACAAAACAAAACAAAAAACAAAACAAAAAAACAACAAAAACAAATAAAGCAACAAAAAACATTTAAGTGTTTGTGTGGAATGTAAATGCCAATACCTTAAATATTTGGAATGTAGCATTGCTTACCTGACCTCCACATAAATCATAACACAGGTGGTAAAGATCGGCCCCACTCTGGGGTCACTTCACTTATGTAGACTTATAAAATTAAAAATTGAGTACAACTCGAGCAAATGATGAGGGGTAAGTGGGGCGGGGAGTGAAGGATGTTGCATTTTTTCATTATCCCTTAATATGTATAGACTCAATTAAACCAAGTCTGCAATTTTCATGTAATCTATTGTAATTAATGCTTCCGAGGGATACACTTTATTCAGATTTTTATAAACATCTCTTTCATTTTTTAATTCTTTAACTATAAAAGCCGAGAACTATTTGTATGTAGCATTAATTAGTAGTCTTTTAAAAAAGGTATAAGTTATTGACCCTAATTTAGATACATATGCCATATTGCTTTCGAGGTATCTCCCCTTTCCCGTATTCTAAGATTCTAAGATTAAGAGAAAAGAAAAACGATTTCGGTATGGGTACATTTATTAACTTGAAATTTTCCAAATTCCAACAAGTATTTTGCAAATCCTCTTACTACAATGTCTAAAAAGGCATGTTTGATAGTCCAACTGATTGATTTGAGCTACATTTGTAGCTGAATAGATTGCCCTTATAGTTATTTGATATATTGAAAATTATGATTACGTATTTATCAAATACCCAACTTGAAATGAACACTAGAATGGACAATCAATAGTTATGTACAACGGCTGTACACGTACCAATACATACCTGTGTGTCTTGTTGTGTGTATATAAACTCAATTTAAATACTTGTTTCTTTGTTTTCTTAGGTGTTTAAGCTATAATTTAAAAGAATGTACATATACTATCTAGTATTATTAGGTGGATATAATCTGACCTTTGGTTGTTAATATTTGCATTGATACTTCTTATTACCTAGTTAAGACAATTTACAAAACGCGTTTTAATATGCATACCCTCGCGAATTATTATCCCCCGCCGAAAAGGCGGCGGGGGATATAGAAATAGTCTCCGTCCGTCTGTCCTTCCCTCCGTTTGTCCGCTCTCACGGGACAGTAATAATGTGGCTAGAGGGACAATATGTAACTGTTCTTTCTCTTTGATGTAATTCATTTCGTAATGCTTTTATGTGGCTATTTTCTTTTGTGTGGCTAAAAAGAACAATAGTGAGAACAATAGAGTAGCCACATTATTACTGTCCCGTTAGAACGTCCGTCCTTCCGTCCGTCGGTCATTTCGTCCCACATTTTTGTCCGGAGCATATCTCAAAAACGTTTTTGAGGTATCAACTTGAAACTTCATAGGTGGATAGACCATATTGATGAATAGTGCAGTGCACACGAATGATAACCCTAGCCTGCATAATTTTTCAGTTACTAGTATTGCCCTTTTTAATTTTTCAAACTTAATGTTTGTCCAGAGCATAACTCAAAAGCCTTTGAGATATCAACATAAAACTTCATAGGTGGATAGATCGTACTCAAGAGGTATGCAGTGCGCAATATGATAACTCTACCTCTCAAAATTTATGAGTTATTGCATTTTGTTATTTTTCCTACTTAATTTTTACCCGAGTGGAGCATATCTCAAAAAAGTGTTTGATGTATCAACTTGAAACTTCATAGGTGGATAGACCATATTGATGAGAAATGCAGTGAACAAGAATGATAACCCTAACCTGCATAATTTTTCAGTTATTGCCCTTTATAATTTTTCAAACTTAATGTTTGTCCAGAGCATAACACAAAAGCCTTTGAGATATCAACATAAAACTTCATAGGTGTATAGATCTCACTTAAGAGGTATGCAGTGCGCAATATGATAACTCTACCCTTCATATTTTTGGAGTTATTGCACTTTGTTATTTTTCATACTTAATGTTTACCTGAGTGGAGCATAACTCAAAAAGTCTATGATATGTCAACATGAAACTCCATTGGTTGATAGATCTTATTAATGAGAAATGCTCTGCGCAAGAATGATAACTCTACCCTTTATTATTTTTGAGTTATTGCCCTTTTTTATTTTTCATACTCAAGTTTTGTCCAGAGCATAACTGAAAAAGCCTTTGAGATATTAACATGAAACTTCATAGGTGGATAGATCATATTTAGGAGTGCAGTGCGCAAGAAAGATAACTCTACCCTGCATAATTTTTCAGCTATTGCCCTTTGTTATTTTTCATGCTTAATTTTTCACCTGAGTGGAGCAAAACTCAAAAGTCTCTGAGATGTATACATGAAACTGCATAGGTGGATAGATCTTATTGAATAGGAATGCTGTGCACAAGAATGATAACTCTACCCTTTATCATTTTTGAGTTATTGCTTTTTGTTATTTTTCATACATTTTGTCCGTAGCTTTTCTCAAAAAATGGTAGAGGTATCAGCTTGAAACTTCATAGGTGGATAAATCTCATTGCGGAGGAGCGCCGCACACAAGAATGATAACCTACCCTGTATTATTTTTAAATTTTTGCCCTTTGTTATTTTCAGCCATCAGTATTCATATATGTTTCAAATCAGTAATCACTTCAGCCATCAGTTTTCATTACCAAAATACCTCCTTAAATTGAATCATTCTGCTCTACTACATATACTAAGTACATTCTAGCTTCCAATGAGCAAACACATTCGGCGGGGGATGGCCATGTTAATGGCCATGTTAACATGGCTATTGTTTCCACTGGATGACTGGCTGATAACTGGCATTAATTGGAATAAAGACGTCTTTGTATACTTTACCCTCTTGTCGTTGTATAGATATCTCCATATACATGTATAATAAAGTCAGTAATTTTAAAAATGTGATATCAATTAACTTTTAAAAGAGGTATCTCCATTAACCTTATTTATTAACTTGTAAATTTCAAAAGATACATTCATTATTATTAAAATATTTTATTTAAGGCATTTGAAAATGAAGAGTCAAAGATACTTCGCAATGGAATATCAGCTAAAAAGGGAGGTAATTTCAGTCAAAATATATTATGTTTTCCTAAATTAATATTATAATTTTTTATTTGTCTGATATTTAGTTCGAGATTGCTGAGATTATGAATAGGTTCAACTGAGTGTAATTCATCACACCATAAGCGTATATCATTGTTTTGACGAATGGTATTTTCTGTTATTCGTATTGTAAGCTAATAAATAACGAGTAATTGTGACACTGAATTATACAGTGCGGATAACGAAACAATGGAACTTTTTTCTTCTCACAAAAACATATATGATAAGTGTTTAAAAACAGCTAATATTAATATAAGATAATTTCAGATGATTTTGAAGACACGTGCTATGAATTACCGTCAAATGACAGCGAATCTATCACACGTATGTTCGGAAGGGTCACACTTACTGTAAAACTTGGTGATTTACTGGCAGAGAAGGCACACTGTATCGTTAACAGCACCAATGTAGATTTGGATTTGTCTGTTGGTATGACAGTACTAGTATTTGTTTTTAAATTTTGATTAAATACATTTATGAGATGTAAAGATAAATAAAGATGTATTAAAATACAATTGACACCGTCACAACATTTATATTACTTTTTTTCAAGGTATGAATTGCATAATCAGGGAAGGTTCTTGTTTCTTCTATGCACAATATCTCTTCCAGAGCGTTTTTATTAATGATCATCATAAATCATTTTGATAATGATCCCATTTGATATTTAATTTTCCTTCAATATATTCTGTTTGCTTAGGTGCCATTTGTTTGAAGATTGAAGAATTATTCACGAAAGTTGTGTATATTGACTGACATATTTTTTTTCGATTAAAAATAATTTTTTTGTTATTGTGATTCAAAAGTGACATACTATTCATTCCTGTCACGTGAACATTTATATATTTGTTATTTAATGTAATGAAATGGAAGTTTTTGTTTTTAGGTGCCGTATCAAAAGTTATTTTACAACAAGGGGGTCAGATGTTGCAAGCAGAGCTTGATCGAAAAAGTACGTTTTATTCATCAATCTTTAGAAATAATTAATTCCTTATTTATTTGCCAAACAAAACTATTTCTTTCAAAAATATAATAAGTATATCATTAGTTAAAAAGATTTTGACAGGCTATACAGTCCTATTTAAACAACAGTTGACAAATATAACTCGAGCCGGCAGTTTATATACGGCCATAAAACCCATCAAGAATCTTTATTCATAACGAGTTTATAATACCGCAAACTTGCTGTCCAGTATGTAAATATGAATTGACAGAAGTCGTGTTTATAGGTTATATAAACATGAGCGCAGTATCATATTTACTTTTGTAAAATATTTTGAGCTCGAGGGGATTTCTTAAATTAAGATCGTATAATGCGCAACTTAACGTGCATAAAGACAACAGTTCCTTTGTTCTTGATGACATTATGTTGATAAAACGTAATTTCTGTGTATGGTCGTATCTTTAGCCAGCTTGCATAGCTAAATCGGTTAGAGCGCAAGACTTGTAATCTCGGAATTGTGGGTTCGATTCCCGGGCTGGCCAACTAAAATTACTAATCAGTATTTCGGATGAGACTTTAAATCGAGGTCCCGTGTATGGGTGCTTAAACACTTGGCGCGCTAAAGAACCAGGAGAAGCTTCTGAAATTGGGGCGTTTTTCTGTATCTGAAACTTCACTATCCTCCAAAATTTAAAATGACTAATACTCTTCTGGAGGACACGCCCATATGTGCAACCGATGGCGAGTATAAATAAACGCAAACACACACACCGGTCGTATCTATGCATGTGATACATGTAGTATTACAGTAAATTAATATATACTCTACTATATATAGTAAAAAAACTGCCTATGATTTCAATTGATTATGACAATCGCAACTTTTCGGCCATTCCGTCAGTCTTCGGCTAAAAACCTCTGAATACACAGAACGGATACGTTATTTCGGTCTAACCTACGCTAAGAAACTAAACATGTAAACAAATGGTAATGTTATGCTAGGAGTTGTTGACGTTAATTTTCCAATATATCATGTAAATGTCCACCTGAATTAAACAAATTCATAGATATAAAAGACAGCAATACATTATCTATATAATTATAATCATGGTTGTAGGAACCGAAAATACAAAATGCCAACCTGTTGATTTTAAGTCGCATTTGTTTAAAATTGTACATCAGTGGGCATATTTAAATTTAAATAGGTTGTCAGACATATTTTCAATCTTAATTGTACCGAAACAACTCGAAGAATACACTCTCTGTTTACATTTGAAATCACGTGGTAGAACTACTTTCGATCCGTTTTAACTCCGAGGTTATTATAGATAATTACCGAGGAAGTTCCGATTGGAGTACGTGCTTAATCTGAAACAATAAAGTCACACGTTATGTCATGAAAACAATTAACTTAAAAAGTGAAAGTAAGTTTTACGCACGAATCGCTGAAATTTATACTGAGAACTTAAGCGTATTTTGTACAAACACAATTTTGCTGCAATTAACGAAAACAATACTAAAAATTTATTCCGAGAAAACTTTATTCATATAAGCAAACACATAAGAGAGCAACTCTATAGAAGTAAGGGAGGCAACTGTAGAACTAACTGTAAAGTAGAAATCTGCAATCTGCAAAAAATGTTACCGTTATATCTATCAAGTGTATTAAAGACATTAATACACATTATATATTCTGTCGTGTATTAATCTCTTAGTAAATACATGTATGTGATAAAAGCAAAACTCTTATTTTTTAAGTAATTAATATCAAGTTATTATAACATTCAAAACCGTAAGTTGATTATCGCCCCGCACAATGAAACGTCTACTTAAACAGTGGCTCTTTCACATTTCGGTGATCTGTTTAAATTAGAGCCCTCGGCACTTCCGTTGTAGAGCCATCGACCAAAATAAAGCTGAAAAAGGTGAACACAGTTTCTAAAAATATCCGATGTAAAGAACATGCTTGCTTTTCAAAAATCGAAGAATGCTATGCAAAGTAGAATATTTTTCTCATCATTTCGGATGCAATTTCGATACTAAATACCCCAAATTGACTTTGCTTGAATTTTTTACCAAATATCAGCTCGTGTGTTTTCTTTCGCGAAAAGACACATCTTGAGTGATTTCTCAACCATAAAGTTAATTTTGGCCCACATAATCTTGCATGTACCAATGTGCTACTTCACCTTTGGCTCAACACATAAAATATTTCAAAGATATTTGTTAGAAATGAGATACTTTCATTTATTTAAATGTGATCCAGCCATCGACACGGTACTGGCGCCATCGGCAATGTGAAAGAGTCCTAGCAAATGTGATGGAGCCGATATGATGAGAAAAATATTCTACAAGGCATAGCATATTTCGATTTTTGAAAAAACAAGCATGTTCTTTTAAATTGGATATTTTTAGAAACTTTGTTTACGGTTTGGTCGATGGCTCTGTTTAGTAGGCGTGAATGACGGAGGGCATTATTCATTTCAGGACCGTAAACCACTTTCTGGCCCGTCGATGACGTGTACTAATGTCTTTAATACACTTGATAGATATTATAGGGGCATTTAAAAAAACCCCAAAAAGCCTTCAAATTGATATTCCCTTCATTGAAATTCTTTTTCATTGTAAATTTCTAATATACAGTAACTTATACAGAGTTGCTTGTACATACACAGTCCACTAGAATCCAGGAGCACGTTTCACTTTCTTGGAATGAAATTGCCGTATTTTTATTCTTGAAATTATAGTAAGACTGTATTTGTACATTTTACGCTTAAAATCAAGCAATTTGTACTAAAATAGTACTTTCATTTTTACAGCTAGCTGTTTTGATGACATAAAATGTGACGTTGATGGATTATGTTTATCAGTTTTCAGCCCCGGGCCGCAACTCATAATCGGTCACGTGACACTCATAATCAGTTGTAATCATAGACAGTTTTGTAACAATTATATTAATTAACATAAACAGCCTATTTGTGTTTCCTTAATGACAGTTCATGTTAATAAAAATAGCAATAAATCAAATAAACGAATACAAACATTTTGAAGTGCAATAATATACATATGTAGAATACCTGTTTTATTTTAACGTGTTCTTTGTAACTGTTCAAGTGATTCAACTGAGTAATTTGACTCGCCTCCATTGTAAAAACTTAATGTTTTTGTAATATAAATTCTTCATCATTTCAGAGAATATGATGAAGAGTGAGTTTTTAGTTGTGACAAGTGCTCCAAACTTACCAAGTAATTCAATTATGCACATTGTTGTGAATACAGATGAAATAACAGAGACTGTCCTGAAATGTCTGGAAGAAGCAGAGCAGCAAAAAATGACAAGCTTAGCTTTCCCAGCACTTGGCACAGGTTCATTGATATGTGTTTATTTTATTATTTAATCAATATTTTACATTTATGCAAATGGTATTTATTAACACGTTGTTATGGAGTTTTTATGCCACGTTACAAAGATTAAAAAGTGTACACAATTTTTTTTCTTAAAAACCACAAGTCCGATTTTATTTAAACTTGCAAAATGTTTCCTTGGGTAAAGGGCTTCCAAAGTTGTTTCAATGATTTAAAATGGCTGTCATGGCATTGGCAAGTGAAAAGAATATTATTGGACTTTCTTTTAAACAAAGGCTAAGAGCAAATATATTTTGCCTTAGGCATTATCCTGTGGGCCTCTACTAAGATTGTTTAACCTTTTCCCTCATATAAGCGTGTTTCGACGGCTTTTTGCCCCCCCTTTTTTTGAGGCCTCAAACAGTAAAAAATACCCTATTTAGGCCCCAAACACTGGTTTTCGTTTGAGAAATGTTGTTAAAAAAGTGACCACTTTTTCGGTGCCGTCCCCTATCCAAAAGTTACATCAGGGGGTTGCCAGAAGGGGGATGTGCCCCCTTCTGTTTGGGGGGGGGGGGGTGAAGGGGGACGGAGTCCCCTCATCGCCAAGAAAATTTTGGCCATGCGACAGGCTAAAAATGGCCTCTGGTCGATCTTAGGGTAATAGTAACTGAAGCTGAAAAGCCTTTTACTCTATCTCAATTCATTGAGAAGTTGCAGAACTTTGAAATCAGTTTTGATGGAAAAAACAATGCAAAATAGTGATTTTGGGCAATTTTGAGACGTCCCCCCGTTGCCATGGTAACAGGAAATTTACGATTGAGCATGCTGTTACAGAGGCTATGGTGTAGTCAACATTTGTGCCAAGTTTCATCAGTATTGAAGCATTTTTCATAGTTTCATAGCAGCTTGAACTTGTTACAGGAAGTTTTTCAATGAAAACGGCCATTTATCGCAACATGCTCATGGAGTAAAAGGTTAAACTATATCTCTGTGGTCAAAATTGGCCAGTCCGAAATGTTATGTGTTTTCCTTATATGTATGAAACAAAGATTTTAAAAATCCTACAAAGCTACAAGTGTTAAGCATAAAACATTGTCTTGTGAACCTCTACTTAGAGTATTCAACTTATAGCTTTTGGGTTATAATTCTTAAAATCAACACCGTTGCTATAAAGAAAAAAATAATGAAATGGAAACAACTCTTTTTGTACATATTTTCATGGTATGTTTTGTTGGTTTCAATCGAATTTTCTTTTCAAAAGCTGAGATTTAATTTTTAGGTCATTGAATATATAGCAAGAAGAGAAATGCTTGCTTTTCTCTAGCAAGAGAAATGTTTGCTTTTCAGAGATATTTATGAAATGATTTGAGTACATTATAAGAACATAACGATTCAAACAAATCTACCCTTTCCCTTGTAAAGAAATGTAGTTTAGATTAGTTTAAATCTACATGTTTATTGTCTCTAATGGTGTGTTTTTGTGTATGTTTTCAGAACTAGCTAATGTTTTTTAAATCAAAAGATTTAAGGATAATAACTGACAGTATTTCAAAGGTTAATACAGCTATATAAATGTCTAAATGTTTACCAAGTAAGAATACTTTTAATTTTATTTTAAATCAATTATTATACTACAGCATTTACATCGGTGCATTAGATACATCTGCACATTGCCTTTCATTAAACATGTTGAAATATGACCATGACTTTCAAATTTACAAGACACATTTTCATTATTGCAAAGTTCAGGTGTACACAAACAAATTAGATCAACTGTTCCTACTATTTAATGTATTATTAATGAGGTGGCATAGCGTTTTTCACACTCTTGCATTCTTTTTCATTTTCATACATTGGCTGGAGGCGATGAAGTTGTTTTTCAATGTATGTTTACTTCAACTGAAATATTATGTAAAACTGTATTTTTACTTTGCAAACACTATAAAATCTTCGAATTTCGACATATATCATTTATATCTTAATCAGATTTTACTTGGATACAAAACAATGTTATTTGCAAATTTTTATTTCCGTTCAGATTCGTTTTACGTACAAGTTGCAAGATAAGGTAGACCACCCCTGATGGGCACTATAAAGAACTGAAAAATAGACAACATATGACGTTAAAGGTCACCTGTATGCAAAATTTAAATAAAATTTACCGTGTGGTTTATGAGTTATGAACATTTTTTTTCTGCACTAAAACTTTGCTATTAGAAGAGCTCTTTTTCAGAAATGAGGAAATACTAAATAATACATAATATCATCATTATGAAAAATGTTTTCCTATTGCTCACTGTTAAGAAACAAATAATTACATTCAGGTTACAAATTTACAAGAAGTAAGAGACATCAGTTTGCTCAATCACAACAACAAAATAGCCACTTGTCATTTTAAAGTTTATGAGTTTTATACATTTACACATAATTATCACATATTTATGTCCTTGTAGTATTTATCACAATGGCCAAGGCTTTCGCAGAAACGATGGGTCCTTCGCAGCGGCGTTGGAGTATTCGTCGCAGAAGCAGTGGATAAAATATGGCCGTTTCCTGTCGTCGGTAAGTTTATGAGTGGATTTTGTTTTATGTTTTAATGTTTTACTGGAAACACTTAGTGAGACTGGAACCCAAATATGTACTCTTTCAACTTATTACACGCACATGGTGAAATTCATTGCCGTTTATGCAAACAGTTCTCTACAGTTTGACAAAGGAACGCCACTTTTGCCTAAGTTTGGTTAAAACACATAAAAATGTGTGCAAAACGACTCCATAATACAATGGCATCACATCGTTTTAATGATACATTCACAAATTAACCATAATTTGGAAATTTGGGAAATTATTATTGCCTGTTTATAAAATAAATAGAAAAAATGTTATCAACGCAGACAGCGGTGGATTCGATTGCAACGCAGTGCGGTGGGCCAGATACCATTTATGTATATTTTGAGGGTTTAACTTGACGTAACGCATTTCAATTGAGTACAACCATTTTCTTAATTTGACATCTGAGAAACGTGTTTATTTTGTGTTTAAAACAATATTATTATATATACGCTCGTACAAATAGATGTACGAGTTCCTCTTTCATTTGTTCTTCCATTGAAAATTCCTTTAGCCGTAATTATCATAGAATAATCTACGTTCAACCTTGGACTTATAAGGACCGAAAGTTCCAGGTTCAATGTTTTTGTCATACAGACATATAAAAGAGATACTCGTTAAGATAAACAGAACATGCTTTTTGAATACGAAAATAATTTCAGTTTTGAATGTCACTGTGTTATATTATCATATACTAAGGAACTAATTTATATAATTTTTTTTACAGCGTAAGAGTTATTTTTAGAAAAGTTTTCTCTATAACTTTTTGTTAAGACCTGCGCGTTTTACAGCTTCAGTTTTTTTTCTTTTTTTCTTAAAATTGTGACATTTATAGAAGAAAAAATGGTCTCAAATATGGTACATGTATATTTTTAAAGAATTCTATGTGTGAAATGAGAGGTAACAGAACTATTTTATGGAATTTAGTATTTCTTTGAAAATATACACAAATACACGTATATTGGAGAACATAACAAGCGGAAAAAAGGTTTTTTCAGAGAAGTTATCCGTCCCTGAAATAGCCCCAAATAAAGAAAAAATCAAATTCACGCACAGAAAAGTACAGAAATGATATTGCTAAGTGTTTTCTCTCTCGAAATGTTTATGTTATCATATTTTAGCATCATGCCAAATTTAAAGAATATAATCATATTGAACCTCCTTAATTTTGCGTTTATGTGTTTATAATACTGTGCGTGTGTTACGTCACTTTTCCTTTGATAATTGTGACGTCGATTTATGAAATTATCTCACCTGTTTTTTTAAAAAAATGCTTGGTGTATTATGAATACGTTATTTGAAATAAATGTGACACGTAAAATGGTCGTATATAAACGGTTGTTTTCAATATTAATAGCTATCGAAATTCGTGATAAAACTGGTACATGTAGGTAAGAATCAGAAAATAAAGTTACAAATAAACCAAAAATGTCTATAACTAAATTAACGTCTCGTTTATACAATGAAAAGTTACGTTACAAACATGCAGTATTATAAAGTTTATATACACGACTGCTGTTTATTTAATATATATATTATATTTCCAAACATATATTAAATATTTTCCGTTTATATACGGCCATATTGTATTGTATGTCAAAATCTTTATAACTAATATGATACTCTCGAAAACGCCATGAACATGTGTTAACTTTATGTTTGTATAACTCATATGCCGTAGTGCAAAAATATATGCACGGCCCTGCCATGCCCATTTAAAATAGTCAGAAATCGGCATCGGTATAAAGGTGTAACACGTGATCACGTGTAACATGTAAATGTCTGACACGTGATATTTTGTCTGGATTCATCACATCTATGGAACTCCCTGCGCATCGCTAAATTTCCTTTCGGTGGTGCATCAAGGTCAAATATTTTGACTCCTAGTTTCTGCCGGGATGTCTTATGCATGATCCCTGATGAACTTGGAAATACAAATATAATGTTAAAGGACACTATATATTTCTTACTTTACTGCGCATTTCAACTGAAATGGTGCATTTAGGCACAAAAATACTTGAAACTTAGTAATAACCAATAATAATTTTTGAACGTGGATTATTCTATGATAATACGACCAAAGTAATTTTCAATGGAAGGAAACTGAAAGCGGAACTCGGACATCTATTTGTACCAGCGTATATATATAATAATATTGCTTTAAACATCAAATAATCACGTTCCTCAGATGTCAAAGTAAGAAAATGGTTGTACTCAATTGAAAAGTGCGTTACGTCAAGTTAAACCCTCAAAATATACATAAATGGTATCTGGCTTCAATCGAATCCACTGCCGTCTGCGTTGAAAACATTTTTTGTCATTTTTTTCATAAACAGGCAATAATAATTTCCCAAATTTCCAAAGAATGGTTCATTTGTGAAAACATCATTCATACGATGTGATGCCGTTGTATTTTGGGGTCGTTTTGCACACATTTGTACATGTTTTAACCAAACTTAGGCAAAAGTGAATTCCCCTAGTCAAACTGTAGAGAACTGTTTGCATAAATGAAAATGAATTGCACCTGGTGTTTGTAATAAGTTAAAAGATTATATATGTTGACTCCAGTATCACTGTTTCCAGTAAAACATTAAAACATAAAACAAAATCCAGTCATATACTGACCGACGACAGCAAACGGCCATATTTTATCCACCGCTTCTGCGACGAATAGTCCACCGCCGCTGCGAAGGACCCACCGCTTCTGCGAAAGCCATGGCCAGTGTGTTTATGTGATGTTGCGAAATCAGATCAACGATTTATTAATGCAATTTCAACAGAGAACTTTTAACCAATAATTCTAGGTATGAACACGTCAGATTCTTCGACTATCGGTCGGGGAATGGTCGATGCTGTCGAAGAATTCTCGAATACAAATCCAAAGCATTTGAAGGATGTTAGATTTGTGGTTTTTCAAAGACCGATGCTCCGAGATTTCATTAAAGTTGCGTATGATGCGAATGATATAAAAAGTAAAAAAGGTTTAATTGGGAAACTGTGGTCAAATGTCAAAGGTAAATTCAGATGTTTAATCATTTTAGGCATATTTAATATCAACATGTAATGCTGATATGTATATCAATTGCGCATTCAAATTTAAACGCCATCATTTTAAGTCAAATTTTTAAAATAATAGTATTAAATTCATTTGATAAATGAAAATCATACAATTAATTATGGAACACCCTTTTAAAATTTATAAAATGTAGAGAAAATCAAGCTTCATTTATGTTTGAAATCGCTGGTTTTAATATTAGCTGCTTGATAAATTTTTATATCATTCGTTTTTATTTCCGCTTGATTGTTGCAAGTTTATCTGTATTATTGAATTATTTGATCTAATTCAATTTAAATTAATATTTCTTGATTAAATTTAAAACTTACTGATAAGAAGATAAAATTGATTGGTTACTAATTTAATTAGTTTTAAAATAATCAGTTGCATTTGTATTACCAAACATGACCCTTGAAAATTTATATTTATGTCTTGAAAATTTGTGTGATTGGTTATTGACCCTTGTAGTTTAGAATTTACCAAACATTCCACAGAGCCTTTAGATATTTTAATTATTGTTTTCACAATGCTTGTTGTGCATATTTTTCCTATACTTTCATTTTTTCTGTTCTGGTTGCAATTGAATTAATATAATGTAATAGTTGTGACAGCTTGTGTTACATTACACAGGAGTGTTCAGTGGTAGTTACGATAATGATGACCCAAATAAAAGTCAAAAAGATTCGTCACAGGACGAGACTGACGTCAACAAAGTTACATTTTATATCTATTCTCTCGGCGAGGATGAAATAGATAAGGCAATAAGGAAACTTGATTCATTTATTGAAAAAGAAGTTGAGTCAAAGACATTCACTGATTACATTATACAGCAACTTGATGAAGATCAGGTATTTTAAGCATATTTTGAAACAACAAGAAAATCATTTTTTAAAAGATTATAATGTTTTTTCTTCTCCTGAAGGTTTAAGATTTTAAGATTTCAATCCTATCGGGAATCAAGAAGTTCTTATATTTTACATATTTATACTGGTATGTTATTAAAGCTCCCTTTTTGTGAAAGAGGGACATAATATTCAAAATTTTCTTCAATATCTTTCCATAAAGACGTGTCTGCTTTATATTTTTAGGTTTCAGAAGTTACATCCATAGCAAAGCATTATAACATTGACATCAAAATAGATCAACAAAGCTGTATGATAAAGATCTGTGGGATGAAGGACAATTTTTTCAAGGCGTATGATAAAATACAAAGGTAATATTTTTTAATCCACATCCGCTGATCTTTAAAGAAGCATGCCCCCAGAAGATAATAACTTCCCACTGCTGAATTTAAATTTAAAATATCTTAAAAAACATCAAAATAGTTGAAAAAAAATCACTGGCATAAAAATGTCATTTATTGATAAATACTTAAATAATTAAATTGACCAGTATATAAATTTGAACTCTACCAAGCAATGCAATGTGATAAGAGCTATACCAGAGTATACATTGACAAGCTTTGAAACGCAATTCAGGTCCGAAACTATATAAAACAAGTGGTATTACTCTATTGCTTTAAAATTGTTAAAAAATGGATTTTAATTAATGTAAATATCGGATACGTAAATATATTTACAAAAGCTTTTAGTGATGCTTTAACTTTGCAGGTATAATGTAAATTTTATTTTGTCTGAATACAAAATATAATTTCATTGATCAAATGTTTGATTAATCTAGTTATGTTATCAATAAATTAATCTACATTTTTAATTTTGATAACATGTTATCATTTTGCTAATTTGCAGTTCAAATTTGTTTTAGCAAATTGATCATACCTCCTATATAAATTCTGATGAAAAATAAAAGGTGCAGATATTGTATCTTTATCATTTTCCCTGAAGTTAGAGCATGTAGACGCTACCTTGTCCTCCCGTCCGTCCATCATAACTTAAAACGTATTGAAGGAATTTTATATGAGCTTCATGCAGTAATAGATCCATTAAAAGGAAGCGCAGTGTCTAAAATCATGCCACTAATTTTGAATTATCTCCCTTAAGTTAAAGATGTTTGTCCAGAATATCAATTTAAATTACGAATTATATCTAATAGAATTTACACACATTTGTAAAGGCAATAGGGGTGAACTTCAATGTAAAAAAAAACACAATTTAACCTTGCTTCAATAGTTTTTAAAATATCTACCTACTTCTCAATATGAGTGTTCGAAAATTACTTGAAAACTATTGTAAGAATTATTCAAACTTCACACAGTGATAGATATTAGTAAAATGAAGTGCAATGTTAAAATAATTATGTTATCTTGCTAAATCTATCTTTATGATACTTCAAAATATTAAATATTGCTCGTGCTGAGTATATCTTGCAAACTTTCAAAGATATCTCATTCAAATTCACACAAGTGAAGTGAGGTGTCAAAGAACCATTATAATTCTGCATTACTTTCTTTTTTAATCATTTCCCTTTATTATATTGAATAAGGATTTTCCAAAATGATATCTTTGCAACTACAAACAGTTGTCGTTGACTTCAAACCACTTGCCCTCACCGCTATAGGTTCGAATCACGACATGAACTTTGAATTCTTTCATGTGAGGAAGCTATCCAGCTAGCTTACGGAACGTCGGTGATTCTACTCAGGTGCCAGTTCGTGCCAGAAAAAATGCACGGAAGGTCATCTGAGGTCTTGCTCCACCAGTAAAGATTGAACGTAGCCATGTGACATATGTTGTGTCGATGTGACGTAAAAAACAAACAAACAAACAGTTGTAGTGACACAAAATAGAAAGTGCAGTGTTAAAGAACTATCATATTTCTGCCTTGATTATTTTTATTTATTATCTCCTTTTCTAATTCTGAATAATGGTTGTTCAAAAAATAACTTGAAAATTTTTTTGAGGAATATGACTAAATATTTTATCGGTGATAGATATCAGTGAAAAGTCATGTAGTGAAGCGAAAAGGATCATAATTCTACATTGCTTTTTTTTCAATTATCACCCTTTATGATATTTTTTTTTAAAATAATGCTTGTGCAATAGTATCTTATTGAAGCGTTCGCACAAAGTAACCAGTCAGAGGTAGTGCAATATTATAGAACTAGTTGGTCTCCCTTTTTGATATAAAATTATGATTGTCCTGAGACTAAGTTGAAACATATTGCTTTTTTATTAACCGACGAAATTTAATATATTACTATCCGAGCCCCTGAGGGTCATGTAGATTCTGGGATTGTTAAATCAATTTCAACAAACAGCTTAATATAGTTCAATTATGTTTATATATCAATCTTGACTTTAGGTTGTTACATCAAGTAGGTACAAAACAACACTCAGACATATACTCAAGTATATAAAAATAGATAAATATAAAATAAAATAAAGAAGGATCAATGTATTACATTAATCATCATCCATATCTTATTTTCACATCCAGAACATAATCGTCAACATATGTAGCGGCCAATCAGCTCTTTTTATTTAGCAACAGTCCTTATATATCATATGCATCATTATATAATTACTCAAGTTTAACATATTTTACATTTTATACAATAAACTATGCGTCACAGGCAACTTACCATATAAGTGATGAGTGGAATACAGCAATCTAATAAATGACACCTTTTCTCTAATGCAATCTAATAAATTACACCTTTTCTCTAATAAATTACACATTCTCTCTATCACACCAGTGACTGCAATGTTAAATGTCAAAGGTGAATAAAAGAAGAAGGTTGACTTGATAGTTCCATATGAATATGAATAATTTTATTGAACAAAAGGCAAATGCCTGTGAGTACATATATACAAACATATAATACAAGGGTTTTTTTTTACAAAATAATCAGTGGCGGTCCAATTCTATATAAATCATCATAAATGTATGAAATCGTAAAAAATATCAATCATCACTGCATGCAATCATTATCATTTTGCGAACTATAAGAGGCGATTGGTGAAACAACAGTATCATAAATGCTTTTATGTAAATCTTCTCAAATTTTCAAACAGTTATACACCTATTATAGTCATCGTCAATGAGATATTGAAAAGAAAAACAATGAGTATAAAACATGAGTATTAAACTTCGCACACGCACGCACACACACAAACACACGCACACACGCACGCGCACACACATATGCACACGTATACAAAAATATTGTTTATATATCAAAATAGAGTCTTCCACAAGAGAAAAATGTAAAAATATATTTTGTGAGGAAAAGTGACTCACATTTAATATAAAACTATGCTACGGCGTTCCATGGCTTTAAATAAGTATATGGCAAGATTGGTATTTATTTGTTTTTGGTCGCTGGAAAGAAGTTCAACAAACTTTGGAATATTCGGTCTTTTTCGAAAATATTGTTTTATATATCTAATTCTTAAATCTTTATATAATTCGCATTCTAAATGAAAATGAATTTCGTCTTCTAGTGTGTTACATAAGATACATTTGCGTTCATTTCTTGGAATCGGATGCGGTTTATGCCATCTGCCGGTTTCTATATACAATCTGCATGACGATAAACGAAATTTTGTTAAAGCAGCTCGGTATTTACTAAGATTGATTTGTTCTATGTATTTCGAAAACCCGAAAGTAGCGAAAAGTTTATATGTGCCCTAGGTGACGTTTCAACTTCAGACATCCAGTTTTGAATAAAATTATCTTCAAGTCTTCGCTTGACTTCTGCTATAAAAATGTTTTCATTTCCTATTTCTTGAAATATCCATGCAAAGCCTAGATTTTCAAGAATTGTTCTTACAGACGTTGCCCAATTAGCACTTTCATTGTTTCGTTCAATATCTTCAAGCATCAAATTGTACGTTTCACGTTATCGCATTTAATTATCTTTAACCAGAATTTTAAAACCTGTATTATTCTTTGTTGTTTTAAAGGCATTCTACCTAAATCGCCGTATACAAAATTAGTCTGGGTTTGTAATTTTACCCTTAAAATATTTTTTAACAAATTTGTATGTATATTTTCAATTTTATCAGCTTTATTCATGCCCCATATTTCACATCCATAACATAAAATCGGTTTAATTAACTTGTCAAACAATTCAATTTTATGTTTTATATCTATATAAGTAAATTTCTGTAAGTATTGTTTCATTTTGAAAATGGCTTTTAATGCTTGACCTGACAATGCATTATATGTGTGTTCGAAAGACCCTCCACAAGAAAAAACTAAACCAATATATATAAATTTATTCATTATTTCAATTTCAGACCCATTATACATAACCCTAGTATTTCTTGGTAATCGTCCACTCTTTCTGAAAATCATCACTTTTGTTTTATTAATATTTACGGTAAGTTTCCAACGTTCACAATAATATTTTAAAATATCCATGCCTTTTTGTAAATCATCTATACTTTCGGCTATTATCACAATATCGTCTGCGTATAAAAGAAGAAAAAGTTTTAAAAAACCGTTATTTATGCCTTTAAATCCTTCACGTAAAAGTGTATCTTCAATATCGTTTACATTAATTGAAATAGAAAGGGAGATAAGCAATCACTATACCATAGTGAAACACATACTTATTTACGAGTTTCACAATCATTGACTGGACCAAAATAGAACAGACTCACAATAATGCATTCTCCATATTTACAATAAAGCATTTAGCAACAGTCAGGATAAGTACATACCAAATTAAGAAATAAAGAACTTGACCACAAAACATCAATTTTCCAACATCTCTTCTTCAAAAACAATGACTTTTCCAATCAAGAAATGACGACATTAAAATACCTTAAAATCAATCATTTAAAAACCAATCATTTGATTTCTTAATACTAACCACACATCCAATAAATGTAAACATAAGATAAAATTAGTTGATACAAATAGAGTAATATCCCTTGAAAATTGTCTGACAAGATTGTCGGATTGTTTCCCTTTGGAAAATTATGAAATTCAACAGTAATGCAAGACTTTTGTCCCATACACCAAATCTTAAAGGGTAAGACCCTGAAAGTGCAATATTAAAGAACAATAATTCTACATAAGTTAGCTTGTTTATGCATAATACCGGTAAAGCTTGTCTGGCGACTAACTTATCAAATAAACCGTTTTACCAGTTAAAGATCCTGCATGTTGCTATTAAGGTTTTTACAACACTTACATGAAATTTAATATATGTATATAATCATGCTTCTAAAAAAAAATTTTAACATCTAAGAATATATAAAACATGTACTGAAAATTTTAATGTTATTTTATGTAAATAAAATC